TTATCTGGTATGGCTAGCTCGACTTGACATCCTTGTGGTAAGGAGTGACAGAGTTGATTTACATATAAATAAAAGCTTGCAACATACGTTGGTGATTCTTTTGTTAAGACGCTTCACTATACCGCTTCGGTTACTGGGTAGGGATGTTAGAAGATGTGAACAAGATCTGACTTTTTTGCAGCGGCAGCCAGCATGAGTATTAAAGTGCAATGCGTTTAACGGGGCCAGCGCCACATGGTGCAGTCACACACCTACGCGCGAGCGTACCGTGAGCTGCACCGTGCGGAGATCATGCTGCGCAGCGGCGTGGTCTTGTTTTAGCTACCCTTCCTGCTTCTTTCTCAACTGATTCGCTGCCCTGCTTACAAATTTCTGACATTTTTCTGTCTAAAACTCTACTTCGGTATTTCTGAGATCTCTCAAAGTATCACCGCGCGAATGGAAGACAAAGACAAATGGAGGTTTGAGTTCTAAAAGAAGAGGTAATCTACTCAGACAAATCACCGGAACTTCCGCAGGACAAGCCAAATTTGCAGAAGTTCCGCAGGATTTCGTTCACTATTGCAAAGATGAAAACGTTGAAAATCGGAACTTCCGCGGTATTTTCATGCCAAACTGATTGAAAACCGGAACCTCCGCAGAACCTTCTTCAAAATCCTGCGGAGATTAAAATGCCAGGGGTTCCGCAGCACTTCGGCCTGCCAGAAATTCCGCAGGACTTTGAATGTGTTGTCTCGTGATGTTGCCTCGCCAACAACTAGAGTGCATTATCGAACATGTCAGCCATAGCGTAGAGGGTAGTAGGTGGGTCTCACAGTCAATAGAGTGAGGTTCAAATCTCGCTTTGGTTTTCTCTTTTGCTGTTGTGGTTGGCATTCTTCGGAACTTCCGCAGGACCTCGTTTCGGGACTTCCGCGGCACGTTTACGGAACTTCCGCAGGTGACCCGGCGGAACTTCCGCAAGCGCTCTGCGGAAGTCCCGCCGGGTGTCCGAGTAAATCATTTCATTTGAGAGTCCTGAGAACGTCTGGTGCTCTTCCTCCTTACTGCTAAAGGTGAATATGTGTGGTGTTATCGTATATCGTACAGGTTGAGAGAACAGTTTTGAGTGAACAGCGCTGTGGCGCTGTAATCAAACCTAAACGATATAGGATCATCCGCTGAAACACGAGTCGATATGATTAATCATGACATCCAGAATCAGCCATCCGAAGAAAACCTGGATGAAATGAAAGATGTCATGAGGGAAAACGCTCAAAGATTTGATACCTCCTTCCCAGTAGCGTACCCAGGATATCCGCTCGGGGGGGGGGGAGGGCGAAAAAAATTTTTCGGATAAAGGTACGTGGCGTTAGTCACGTACTCCGAAATATTTTTTGGAATGCTTCCCTGAAATGTTTTGGGAGCCGAACCCGCCCCCGGAAAAAATTTTGTTACAAGGCTAATTTGAATTTTTAAAAATTTTTGAAAATTATTTCAATTATTTACAAGTAAAAACAAGTCCTTTGCACATTTTCATAACACATTTGAGTAACTCAAAAATTTCGCGACCGATTCTTGGGGGGGGGGGGGGGCGCCGCTGCCTTCGTTTGCTGCGAAATCAGATCCAGGTATCAAGACAAATCGCATATGAGCATAGAAGCAAGAAGAATGTAATGCGCTGCTACAAAACGGAAAATTACGAGATACAACGTTAAAAACAGGGCCCGCGATGTTGTGCGCAGCATGGTCTCTGCACGCTGCGCGTACGGTAGCGCTCGTGCGTAGATGTGTGACTGCACTACGCACGCGGCGTTGGCCTTGTTAAACGCATTGTAGAAAAATTGGTCACCGTGAAATAGTGAATAGCTTCTCATGAAGTCATAATTCATAGCTTTACAGATATAGGCAATTAACCAATCATGGCACGGCATTTTGAGAACTTAAATATAGAAATCATAGAATCATAAGGAACAAAATATTCCTAGAATATGCGTAAAGGCCTTCTTTCAACACCTGTAAAATATCTGCTCTTGATCGATTATCAATGAATCACTTCGAAAAACAAGAAAAATTGACGACGACTCACCTTTCATTGTAATCGCATACTTTATTCGAAAAGGAAAAGACGGCCAAGTTGCGAGATTACTCAAAACGACTGTAAATTGCAAGATAACTAATATGAAACGGAGTACAAATAGTCAAATGAGGCTGAGAATTGTTAGAGCTCTTATACTTCAAAAATCGAATATTTTTTGCTTCAACAAGAGTCCCGTAGCAAGATTCTTCGGAAGTTTGGTCTACTTTCAGTGTTATGACCAAATAACCAAGTATAATACTTTAGAAAACGTTGTACAATTCGCCTTTTTTCATCAACAATAAAATAAATGCTGAAGAGCACTCGAAATGAAAGTGAGACCTTTTGGCAGAACATCATTTCATTGTGAAAGAGTTTGAGTACAAGTAATCATACCAAAATATACCAAGTATACCACGTTGTCTTTTATTGGCTACTTCCCGATCCACGAACAATTTTTATCTCACAGCGAAGTCCCAAATCATGACTTGTTATGTTGATCCACAAGTGTTGCACCCAGAGTGCCCAAAATGCACCTTAAAATGTTTAAAACAACGTTTCAACCTAAATGTATGTTTTTTTGAAACCTAAAATTAGCGCTTTAACAATCTATATTAGGAATTTCAATCGAAGCAAATCGAAATGGCGAGTTGAGCAAGGCAAAGATCGTAACTATTACTAGAAACATCCAGTCACTAATTTCTTACAGTTAAAAAGTTAATCGTAAAACCATAAAAATAAAATTGATTTTCTTGGACCTTCTAATAGCCAGAGACTAAAAAAGTGCAATCTGGATGTGTGCTTCTCTCAATCAGAATGTATCACTGTGATATAAAATAATTGGGTTCTTGCTTCAAGCACTATCAGAAAGCATATGAATTTTTCTTTCTAAGCTATTTCGGATTGAACGGATTCTTTGATAGACAGATAGTTACGATTTTTGAAAAATTTTGTGCAAAACTTGTGGATTAACCTAATATTAGGTTGTCCCGAAAGTTTTGTCCGTTTTTTTAACCTATCATAAAAACGCGTGGAACGAGGATAGGGAAACGCTCTAAGCACTATCCGACGCATCTTTTCCTTCTCTTTCTAACTGTCATGCTTCCATGCCGATTAATCTTTTGTTCACTGAGATAAACGCCGAAATTTCGAACCCATTGTTTTTACTATGTCCAAGTCTGGCAATTTTTCACATTCTATATTCTTGATTTTCGGAAAAGCTTCGGCAACAGTTAGATAGAGCAAACAAAGGGCAATATAATGCAATTTTGCGGCATCTATAGCCAGCCTTGCAAATTTTTTAGAATTATTTTTCTGATGCTATCAAATTCCACTTTTGGTGATGCCAAAAGCCAGAGATCATGAAACGGCGCACAACTAAGGTGTTATTCGATGCAGCTTTTCCTCCTCTTTCCAGTGAGTGTATTTTCTCTCCAATCTGCGGGGTCCTTGGCGATAAAATTTTCATAATTCTTGAATTTGACCCCACCCCAGCGTGTGCACGTAATTTGCAAAATCTTACGTTTCGAAGCGGTAAACGCTCATTTGCTTCGTAAAAATAGTGAATAATCGTACTCGGTTTTTGAAAGCTTCAAAATCCGATTATTTGTTAGTGATCGAGGCGTTTCTGTATTTTGGGACTTCGCAAAAGAGTGAAGACTTTTGAAAAAATTATCTCAAAAAATACTGAAAAGCCAGCTGGATAAGTTGAAAAATTGCATTGCTTGCCCTTTGTTTACTCTATCTGAGCGCTATCAAAAGTCTTCCAAAAGTTGAAAATGAAGATTGTGAAAAATTGCCAAACCTGGACATAGTAAAAACCACGGGTTCGAAATTTCGGCGTTTATCTCAGCGAGCAAAGGAGTAATCGGCATGGGATCATGACAGTTAGAAAGATGGGGAAAAGCTGCGTCGGACAGTACCTGAAGCGTTTCCCTACCTTGATTCCTCGTGATTTTATGATAGGTTGAAAAAACGGACAAAACTTTCGGGACAACCTAATAGATAGACCGGAAATCCACTTTCCACAGTTCGTTTTTTGAGATTGTTTTGAATAGCAACTTTCAGACTACTAGTCTCTTTCAAGACCACTACATCGGTTTTAGCCAAAATCTAACAATTAATATACAGGGTGTCCGTAAAGTATGTATACACCGTTTGATTTTCAATATCTTTCTTCCCAACAAGTCGTTTGCCTTGCTTCAGGTACCGTTTTGTAGAGCTGGCTTCAACTTAGATTTACAGTATGGAGCGAATTACCGATCGCTCTTCATTACTGTAGGATTACGGTAGAAACTTGAAAAACATATGGTGTCAATGTGGAAAAAGCTGCCGTCCCAGAGTTTTTCAAAAAAATGTGAAAACTTGTGTAAGAGGGTTTTATGGACGCTGAGTTCAACACTCAACTATTCACAAAATTGCGAAGCTTTCTAAACGGTGTAACCGCACATTTTTAGGAACGTTGAAAAAATGGCCGCTACCTCTTATCCGGCATAACTCTTCATTGAAGCATCATAATAAGTTGGGAACTTTACAGTTAGAATCAACAACTCTAATTAGCCTAGTGTAAAAGCTTTCAGGCTGTTTTGTTTTTTTTCTGAGGCAAAATATGCCCTTTCATGGCTCAAAACCCTCTTTGAAGTTTTTACCGTAATCCTACAGTAATGAAGAGAGATGGATGATATGTCCTATACCGCAAATCTTAGTTGAAGCCAGCTCTACAAAAAGGTAAATGAAGCAAGGCAAATGACTTGTTGGGAAGAAAGATATTAACGATCAAACAGTGTATACATACTTTACGGACACCCTGTGTATTATATTTGTTTATTTTGATATTCTGCTTGAAATGTTCTCTGATAAGTAATCTTTATTCAAACATAGAAAAGCACTAGTAGAAACTATAGAGATCGTAACCATAGCAAGCCCGCATAGCACTGTTGATATGTTAGGAAAGCAGGTTCTGTGCACCGAGTTCAAGATTTCCCTTGTGCACCTGCATATGGAGATCGAGCACGTCTCGGCTGTAAAATGATGAGCTCTGTTTGCTTTAAATCTCCTTTTCTCGCTTTGCTCACCTCGCAAAGCCGTCACCGCAGATCTGACAGATGCAGTTGGTCGTGGTCGCGTGCTTCCTTACATGGTTCTCGAAACGGCTGGCTGTGTTGAAGGAGAGGCCACAGAGCGGACATCGTCGTAGCGAATCGTTGTGGGTCCTGGTATGGGAAAGCAGGGCAGAGGCGGAGGTGAACGCCTAGGAGAGCAAATTTGTTGGAGTTACTTGGCCGGAATACGCAAAACGAACCATAGCACACTGCTGACACGAGAAAAGCTCAGTGGGAGATTGCGTTCCTGAGCTGGAGCTGAAATTGTCAGAAAACAATAAATTTCAAAAAATATAAAAAAAGAGATTAAAAAAATTCATATGGTTTGAAAATGTGTGTATGTGCGTGCACCAAAACGAGGTCAAAAAGTGCCTTCTTTGTTAGCATGAAAGCCTCTAGACTTCGAGGGCACTATTAACTTTTTTGGCCTTGTTTTACTTATATAACAATTTGCGAATTTTTGCTTTGTCTAATGACGGCTACTTAATATGAAAGTCGTTCTTACAAAGGAACATTATAATGCCAAAAAGACATGTTTGAAAAAATATTGTAGAATTACCAAATTTTTGTTTCTTTTTCAATAGCGTTTCTCATAAATTCGGTACACTTATTGATAACCAGATTTTCAAGAAGGTTGTTTTTGAGAGAAGTTATGATATGTTGAATTCAAATGATAAAAACCAAATCCATGCAGCATCTTAGTATCACCAAAAAGTCGTAGTTCCTTTTTAGCCAAAAACTATGATTTTTTTAAACGTTCTTTTGGTAAAACTCACCCTGTTTTTGTATCAGCAGCATGAATCAAGGCGTGATTTTCCAACTGCACAACAAATCGAAAGCTCTCATTGCAGACATCGCATGAGTGCAGAGGCTTATCCTAAAATGGAATTGCTACAGTACTGTAGTGAATTTACGCAAGTTTACCTCAGCATGCTCCTCGGAGACATGCGAAAGCAGATGCTGCGCAAGAGCAAACGGTCGGAGACAATGAGGGCAACAGCGGCGTTCGTCGTGTTCCATTAGGTGAACATTGAGCTGGTACAAGTTGACAAGAACCTGAAAATCTTAGAGATTACGATTACAACATTTCCAAGGTCATTTTTCTCTGATTGCAGTAATTGTGTAAGACCCACTTTCCCACATATTCTGCAAGTCTGCTCTACATCCTCAGCATCGCTCTTTCGATCCATGTGGAATTGACAATGAAGTGCCAATTGCGTCTCGCTTCGAATGGATTGCCTGAAAATATGCATCACCATCTGTGCATAATTATTCGTATGGAAGAGGTGCTGCAAGGCACAGATAGTTCAGATAAATTTAGAAATTGTTGCGCTTTAGTTTTCAGACGTTGAACTGAGCTGATAAGAAATGTAAAATCAAAAACGGCTAATAATAATCATACTTTGAACCGATTAAGACCTCTATCTAATCCAAGAACATTAACACCAAAAATAGTTCCAGCTTGAAGTTGAGGAAAAAACTTATGGCATTTCATAAGTAGCTTGAATTTTTTCCTACTCTTTTGTTTAAGGTATAAAATTCAGAACTTTCCAAAATATCATCACTGCAAGCCACCTGCACTCAGTTCTATATTATTGATTTGCTTACTACTTTTTTTGAAGAAAACTTTTACTATCAATACGTTTTCGCTCATCAATTTATGAGTTCGAGGGGATGATAAGTACTAGCACGTTGACGACAGATTCCAATTCGATTGTGCCTAATCGTCCTAATTTTGTCCTTGTAATCAACTTGGCCCAAGGATTTTTCATGTCCCCCTCCCCCCCCCCCCCCCGCTCTTTTGGCAAAGTCCGCCCACTCCATTGCCTACTACAACAAAATTTTCGTGCTCGTATGTAAGAGACCACAGATGTGAACCCCAAGCGACTTCAGTCGCTGCCCCATCCACCCACATGCAGGCTCCACCTCCTCAGTGGCAAGCTCCGCTCACTTCAGAATTTCCGGAGTTTGCACTATTTCTTGAAATTCAAGCAACATTTCAACTATTTTCCATTCCAACTTCCTACAAAGGGGCGGAGCTGCCCCGCCCACTTATGCATCACACTTCTTGCATAGATAAATTCATATATGCATGCGACTAGGAGTACAAGTGCATGGAAGCGTCTCGTCCACAGGGATGTGAACAATTCGGCTCGTTGTCAACATGTAGACTGGGCATATTATTGACTGGATTACACTTTATTTATTTGCTTTTATAATTGCTTTGTAACTAGCCTGAGATAAGAAAATCGCTACATTTTCATCTAGTATTACTGCCTGTTCCTCCTTTATGCAGCAGTTTTGGATGCAAAACTGAGAGCAGAACGTATTGCGTCACAAAAAACTGCTACGAACTATTTGCTTCTATCGAATTTAGAAATTTTTTCACTCACCGGCAAACAGCACAGTGCATATGTAAGTCAGCTGTGTGCATCCTAGTGTGCTTTTCGAAGTCTTCAGCGGTTCTTAGTGGGGCCTGACAAGCTGCGCAATTATCCGAACGGGGAACCTGTAGGGAAAATCCAATTATTTTTGCATTTCAGAAATTTTTTCTCCTTCACCTTGCAATGGCTGAATAAGCGATGCTCATCCAGCGCATCTTCACCATAGCATTTCTCGTCGCATACCGAGCAGTGAAGAATTCGGATCTGAAGCTCACTTCGAACTTCTGTTTCAATCTATAATTTTGGCTACGGCAACGGAAAAAGAATGAACCTCTTTCAGGGTGTATGCTGTGGGCATGGCTCCATTTCGCAGCATCATAGGAACAGATTCGGATCTATCGAATGGTTGCTCCCTAGAAAAGATGTTAAAGAAATATCTGGGTAGCTCATTAATTAAGACATGCCTGTCATGGACGAGTTGCACGTGCATTGCTAGTAGCTCTCTACTTTCAAATGGGACTCGGCACGACCCACACTCTAGTGACGTTGCCTCCTTTGAATGACTCATAATGTGCTCCTAAACAGCAAAAGAGACAATTACATATCAATACCGCCATCCGGGGAACGGACCATGAAATCCTTCTGAGTGTCACAATTTTGACCGCAAACTGTGCAGAGATGCTGTAGTTTGAGATGTTGTTCCATGAAATGTTGTCCTAAGGACAGGCTGTCGCCAAAGGGTAGACGGCATTCCGAACAGGTGCGTAGGGGTTTGCGAACTTCAAAATGGGAGACCATGTGGACCAGGCGGGCCTAAATTACGTATTACTATTCGTACAGTCAAAGATGACAATTAGTGCATCGCCTCTGCGATGGAAGCAAGATTTGCGCGTGAAAAATAGCATTGTGTCACAACTCTTGAATATATGCGCTCTATGGCTAATTTTCACGCGTAAAGGTTGTTGCCTCGAGCATTTATTACGCTGCAAATTCATGGTCTAGTTCCAGACGAAGGCGAATGCCCATAGAAAAGAAGCCCAAGCGACGGGATGCGCGGGCGGATATCGGTCTCAAGTCCCTGCAACCCAAGAATTCAGCCATGAGAGATGCTCAACCACCGTTCGTGTTTGCTCTGCTACAATAAACTATTCGCCTCTGTTTAGACAGCTTCAAAAATGTCCGCATGTCAGCGCTGTGCCGGCGCCGTTCCAGTGCAGTGCCACCGCCGTGCCAGCCCAGTTTCGGAATTCATTTGGAAGCACTGCGTATCGATCGAATCGCAGGCACTGCTTTTGTCACGGCGTTAAAATTCGCGGAAGGTAACAAAGGCAATTTTGGACACAGCCTCAGGACTAGACTTTACAGGCCCATAATTTTCTAGGTAAAATTGTATGATTTTTATGTCCCACCTGTCCATCGGTGAAGGATAGCGGACAGCGAGGACATCTGTTCTCATCACGATCGCTCAGGTGTCCTCTCATATGCAAGACGAAGGCGGCGAACGATGGCAGTACGGCGCAGCAGTGCTGACATTCGAGCGAAGGTACGGGCTACAAGTAGAGATGATCATAAGCACAACAATTACCGCAATCGATGGACGCTTTCCTCAGGCCTAGAGAGCGACGAGATTTCTCTTGGGAATTCGTCTGCATGGCTAGTAAAGAGAAGCTGACGCTCAGTAAAAACTTCATTGCCTCAAGTAGGGAACGCGAACGAGGGAGAGAATAAGTGAAAATGCGCCAGTGCCTGCGGTGTCCTAGACGCGGCTAAAAGCCCCCTCAACGCGATGATTAACGCATGCCATACAGTTTTTGCTGCGAGTTGAGTGGCTCTTTAGGTGGGTTTCTAAAATGAATGCGTCGGAAATAACCTACTATAGGAATATGGTCTCGAAGAGTGTGGGTTTGGAGATCTGACACTGTCTCGAAAGAGGATCCGCAGAATTGACAGTCAAGCTTGACTTCGTTGTTTGGCGCGACCACTTTGACATCGTCGTCGTCATCATAAGGCTCTGATTTTATGGAACAGCTGTCGGAATTGGATTTTCTGGAACCAGAATTTTATAAAAATCATACCTTCTATCATAAAAACCTACCTCTTCTTAACACCCATCTTGCAGTCTTCATCATTCGGTTGTGAAACATCATCTAAACCAAATTCTTTTGGAATTCTAGCGTAGCGTAAACAAGTGCAAATCAGAAAGTATGCAATGTGCTTAAATGAGCTACTCCTTTATTAAAACAATTTCTTCCCTGAAATCTATGACACTTTTTTTTTGAATGCAACTTTCCACAAATATTATCTATCTATAAGAACTCCTTAAAATGTGCCAAAAAAGAAGAGATACGAATTTTACACAAATAAATTTTTAGAAGAAACGCAAGAACATAATAGGAAAACATCCCAAAATTTTGAAACCGGAGTTAATTATTTCCATGCATTTCGCGATATTAGGGGTATATAGCCATATTTTCCCGTAAAGGAAATATATTTGAGTTCTACAAGCGGTTTAATTGTCAATGAGGCAATTCGCTCATATACAAAGTTACCGTGATCCGTAGGGATACTGTAAGCATACGGTGGGACATGATTAGCGTCTGTGGGATGTTTCCATGAAGATGTAACTTGGTTCAGTAGTAACTGTTGGAAAGAACACTTCCTATAGAGTTTTACAGAAATGTCATAAAATTTACTTTTCGAGAGGAAGAGTATAGCAGAGTACATCAAAATGGAAGAATTATAGAATTTTCGAGATTTACCGAGTACTCGTACGCATCGCTTAAATGGAGTGGAAAATGTGGGCAGTATTTTAACTCGAAAAATAATGATTGCGTCCTTTAGAGAGTGCATGTAGTACCCTCGGGTCTAGGATTTGCGATTTTAACTCCCGATAGTACTTTAACTTTTACTACGATTTGCACTTTCTATCGGCGACTTGTTTTATAGTCATTTGCTGCCAGAATTTTTTATGATTAATCTCATGATCACTCAAAATCTCAAGCTTCACAATTAGAACTATCGATCTAGAGAGCCTGTAGATACTGTAGGCATATGGTAAGTTGTCAAAGTAAGAAATCTAGAACTTTTGAACAGAAGCAACATCTGCTCACTTTATCGTACTATTTGGCTGGAGAATACTGTTTGCAGGCAAAAGACGAAGGAGGGGAAGGCGCTTCTAATTCAGCGAGGTTTTTGTAGCCTTTTTTCCTCCCCTCCCCTCCCCCTCCCCTTCTTCCCTGAAAAGGTTTTTTTCTGTTATATGCTATTATGTATCAAATCATCTTTCCTCTCTTTCCTACCCCCACCCCATCCCCCCTTCCCCACTTCTCCTCTTTTAGCTCATGAGATTTCAGCCTATCTGCTATAATCGGACATCGACTTTTGAATAAAATAATGAATGTTATAAACTTGCCATAGATCCGCCAAACAATTTGATAGTTTTAGCAAAATTCAAGATTTTGGAATTTTTGGGAGAAAGGCAAATTTGAAAGAGTAGGTAGATGATGCGCAAAACTACGACTTACCCTTCACAGGTTGTGGTTTCAGTTGCTTTCTTCGTGACATCAGCTTGGCGATTTTAAACCCTTGAAACGACTCTTAACTTTCTAGCAATTGATGTAGAGAGAGTAATTCTGACGAGAAGCAGCACGAATGCAATGCAGCATTCGTGGGGGTCCCGGCGGGGTGTCCCCCAGGGAGTTCCGTTGATTGGGGCGGTCGCGCCATCCCCAGGGACCGGCGCCGAGCTACGGTCACGCCTTTCCACGAATTAATTAATTCGACTTTCATCACCCGTCACGCGCGAATATTGCCGGAAGTAGAGCTCGAAATGAGAAGCGACAATTGTTCACTCTCGGGAAATCTCTCTTATTATTGCAGTTCAATTTTTTTTATAAGCGAACAGTGGACGGAGGGGGGACTGCCTGTTTCGCTTCTGAGTTATGTAGAATCGTATAGAAAGCCTACTTGTCTGCTTGGAAAAGAGCTGATTTGTAGCATAAGAAGAAAATTTACATTTTTTCGTAAAACTAACTTTTCATTTTCCTACCCAGCATCCTCACAATTTATTAGAGCTGCTCCTTTCACCTCAAATATATTTTCTTTGTGAAAATATGCTATCCTCGTTTATGATTAGAGAGAACGCTTCGAAAACAGTGCAAGCTTGCATTAAGTGGCGTTTTACTTGAGTCTCAATGGTCCCTAGGGATGACATGTGTTGCAGAGGATTAGACGACGCACAATGAATGCCCGGCAACGGGTGGCGCTCTTCTCATAACGGTTGTAGAATTACAGTCACGAGAGAATAAAAGTTTTTAAAAGTGATTAGCGTGAAATGGAAGCTAGTACGCGACTACATGTTATGGAATTGTGCCGACTGGTACACAAACTTTAAGTCAGTAATTTGATCAGGGGAACATATTTTTTTCGACCAGATTTGATTTTGATTTGCCTGAAAGAGATATCGCTCACCACTCAGAATTCATCACAACACGTGAGCGAAGTTTTACTTTGTAGTCAATTATGTAATATATTTCATAATAAGGCAGCGCTGTGGAAAAAAATTAGAATTTTTTCAAACAGTGCGACTCTCACGTTTAGTACTGAAACGAAGGTAAAAAATGTCACACTGGCATCTCTAAGGTTTTTATAACCACAGTTGTTTGGCCAACTTCAGAAGTTTGTAATTCTTATAGTTTCAAGACTCCTTTTTTTCGATGTCTCTTCTAAAGAAAAACTCGTGTGCTTTTAGTACTCGTTTTTAGTATGTTCAAATAAGGTAACTAAAAACACTCAACTTTGCATTTTTTATAAACGCTAGAAAGTTGTGGCCCAGCAAGCCTGGTTTTAGTTTTGCATACATTACATGATCTTCTCCTAGAATGAGAAAATTGATTCTAATCTGGTGTTCCTGCCAGTATAAATTTAGAGCTTCTGCACAACTTCTTGATTCTGTTACAAACGAGATTACTATACAATAAAAACAATAGATTGTTTTACCTGTATTAAGGTGTAGTAAAAATCGCAACGTTTCGAAAGTATTTTTGGATATAACTTTACACAACTTACTTGCACAACAGCTGATTCTAAGCACAGAGCAAAGTGACTGGATGAAGTTACTAACAATTTTTTCGTACTGCTATCTTATCATACAAGCTTGAATGAATAATCATTTGATTAATGCTAAAACCAAAATCCCAATCAAGAAGCTAGTATTCGATCTTCAAACACTACCGTTTTCTATGGAAACTTTGTCGTTATCATCAATCTACACTGAAAATCAGTACAACATAACTCTGCCAATGCTTTATGATCTTCAATGATGATGTAATTTTGTAAACAGGAAAAAAAACACCCGTCTGTCAGTTTTGTTGCTCAGTTTTTTCATAGTCACAGTACCACTTCATGAGAGTAAGGCTCGGACAGAGTTCAAGCGATTTGATCGTCGCGATTCAATCGCTACAACTGTTACGGGTTCATTGCATGCCGATCAGCTTGCATTCCGGTTGTGATACTTTTCCAGCTCGAAGTTTTTGAATGTGAAATGAAAATGAATGAAAATCGCGGTGACTAAATCGCGACGATCAAATCGCGTGAGCTCTGTTTGAGGTCTAATCCTCCTTTCGCGCAGAAAGTGTCAATGAGTTCAACAGCACATTGGACCGAGGAACACTCACTAGAAAAGCATGATCTGAGTTCATTTCAATCGAATAATTCATCGTTATGATTTCTATCGTGCTTTTTCATGCTAAAGTATAGCGTACAATTGCAGAGTTCCTTAATGAAGATGATGGAAGCGTATAGCAGCCCCACTTGAGGTGTCTGCATTCAAATATGAAAATTCCAAATCTTATTTGACCAGTTTTGTGAATTTTGCTCTCGATTGCTGAATTAGATATCAAATACTTCAACCGCTTTTGCTCTGAATCTACTATGGCATTATGAAAAATCGAAACATGTGATCACTTGGCGTCATTGTTCGATAAATCATTGCTTTCTAAAGAAATATTTCGCTTATCTGAGAACTAGAATTCATAAACAGCTCTATGACCACGGCTGATAGTAATTAGTCTCTCGCAATGGCTGGGGGACTGAAAACTGGTAAGCTGACCTTGTGTTGTTATGAACTGAAAGATCTGGAGCTATAGGCAGGCTCCATTGCCCTCACGGATTCATCGAATCTCGCTGCTTCTGGGAGGTGATTGAAGCAGCCGGCATAGAGCCATCCGCAGTCCATGGGGACTACATAGCATATGTCTGGAGTAGTTAAGTCAAATAAGTGTTGTTCTATTCTTATAAAATCTTATTTTCTGAAGGTTATCCAGTGTCCAATTGCAACTCTCTGCGCTGAAAAGAAGCTGAAAACCTGGATAATCGTTATGCTGAAACATCATTCTGAATAAAGACGAGGATTGCCAAAATTCCAGCAACGGTCGAAGAAAGCAAGAATGCTGTTGATTTGCCTTAGTTCTGTGCACCACAACAGTTTGTAAGAAACGCTTCACGTCTAGGAAAGCCCAGCATTGGTCACTACGTCTACCAATATATGGTTGATGTACGATAAAAACTCAAACAGATTTATCACAGCTTTTATGCATTGTGTTTGACCGTCGAATGCTTTTGTGAATTTCATGCAGTAGAAAGGATCAGATCTTTTTGCGTCTTAAAATTAGTCATATGTGAGATTTCGAAATCAGTTAAACGCTTTTGATTAATCTTATTATACGTTGAGGCTGTGATCAATCCCATGGAACAGAAACCCAAGGAGTGAATGTTTCCTACTTCTCAGCTTTTGAAGGGTGACGAACTCCAATTGCTTTGAGAGCGCTGAATGCGACTGCCGGAAAGCTCGAGTAGAAATGAAGTGTAGATTTTGAGTCATCGTGATATTAACATATCGCGATTGCTTAAAACTTTAGAAAAATTTGCTTCTACCTTGTGCAGATATAAAATCAATAAACACTGTCATGATTCAATCAATGTAAGGACAAAGGTAAAAGAACAGAAAAGGAGGAACTAGGGTGGAAAACCGAGGAGCAAATTTTGATCTTACCGCACAACCGTGCAGAACGGATGTCATCTTACGTTAGAAGTACTTGTAAGTATCAGTCACA